CCTATAACAAGTGCGTCTCCCATGGAGAGACGGGCGCCATCCCTGGCAAGATCGCGCAGGAGACCCCGCTCATTGGGGCTATCTTCGCATGCGGAGGGCTCTTCTGGCTCGAGATTGAGGCGCCGCGCACCGGGCGAAAATGCGCCGGGCCCACGCGGCGGGCACGAAAGAAGGCGGCGCCCAGGAGCGCGGCGACGGGCGCCGCCGCCCCTGGGCGCGCAGGACTCGCGCTCAGCCAAGCGCAGACCGACAAGCTCGACAGGCATCGCCTCAAGTTCGCGCCGTTCCACAGGAAGGATAACGACAACAGTGCAAGTGCCGGTTGATGATGGTAGGTGGGGCGAGCGCGAGGCCATCAGAACTCCAGCGAAATCGCCGATCTGGACGCGGCCAGCCGCGGCGCCGACAGCGATCGAACTGCGATCGCAGCGGCTGTCTTCGGCGACCAAGAGATGGAGCTGGCGACAGAATCTGATTGCGCGCGGGCCCCGACGGCGGCGACAGCCCCACCGGGCGCAGCGATGTCCATCCCCCGGGTCGCGCAGTTTCGAGAGGGCGCCCAGTGCATGGCCGAGGCGGAGGAGGGCGGCCGGCTCGCGGACGGGCTGCGAGTGACGTGCCGGCGCGCTTCGACGCCGAAAGCGACGTCAACGCAGCCTTCATATTGCTTGGCGCGCGCCCGCTCCGCAGCGAGTGGCCCGCTGCGGCCGCGACCAGCCTCGGGCGGCGCGCGCGCGGGAGGGGGACTTCGAGCGCGGGTCGCGCGATGCGGACGGGCTGGCTGGCGCGGAGAAAGATGCGGTGGGGGGGGGCAGATTGCCGAAATCCTCACAAGGTCGTCAACGCGCTGTTCGCCACCTTCGACATGCGCGTCAGCGCGGCTTTGTCGAGTGAGATCGCGGCCCATGTGCCAGGATTTGGAGCCATTGATCGGTCCGGGAAGCTGCTAGCGCACCCGCCCACGCACTGGCCGAGGCCGCTCCCCGGCGCTACTGGCGGCGCG